CAAGCAAAAGCGAGCGTTGTTCCAGCTAGCCGTCACTGGCAGTAAGAAGGAACTGAGGTGGTGGGGGGGTCGGCAGGGCCCTACATTGGGCACCATGAAGGCGCGACTCCAGGGGGTGCCCAGGCCGACCCTACAGACGCTGCTAAGGGAAAAATCTTCTGGCTGGGGTGCACATGGCATGCACACATCTGATTGGAATGGACATGAACAAGCACTTGAAGAAAAGGCGAGTCTGTTTCAAGAGGAGCACATGGGATAAGTTCCAGTTTCCAGATACTGAGCAAAACCCAGAAAAACAGAAAAAATCAGTGTCTTGAAAGAGACATGGCTGAAGTGAAGGCACTAGTACCCATGAGTTGTTAGTTGGGGGATAGATGGGTTGGTCTCTCACAGTCAGGAGCGCCGCCAGCTTTTCTGCCGCTCTAGGCGGCGGAAGGTCCCGCCCCGAAATGCCGCCCCCCACTGAGGCGGCAGAAGGTCCCGCCGCCGAAATGCCGCCGCAGTCGCCGCCCCCCAAATTGTAGCGCCCTAGGCGACCACCTAGGTCGCCTAATGGGTTGCGCCGGCCCTGCTCACAGTTTAAAAACAGATATCAAGCAGTTCCCCAAATAAGAAGATGGAGATATAAACCCCTTTTCTGTGCCCTTGGAAAAACACAAATTGGAGAAGAAAGGTGGGTCCTTCACTTGTCAGTTTGCCTGTCATGGTAAGCTCTAGGGGCTTATTTTTGGATGAGCCAGGAAACTATACAGTATCTCCTAGAATAAGAAAGGTATTGGTAACAAAGTTCTAAAGGAATAGGGAAGCAAATGTTTCCATCAGGCCAAGAGAGGGTAATGGATGTGTGATAGTATTTACAAAGCCATGCACCTAAGAAGTAAGGAAAGGGTTAAAGTAGGCACTGGGAAGTAGTAAGCATCCCAGATGGAGTTCATTATGATGGCTGCTTCCAGAAGGCAGAGGGCTGGCTAAGGGAAGGATGTTCTTCCTGGGAGAAGAGGATTTGATCTAGGCAACCAGCTATGCCTGTGGGGTATTTAGAACACTTTCCACCTGCCTAAGGAGAGAAGTTGCAGTTAGTAACTAGACCCAATGAGGATTTAATTAAAGCAAGCCAGTCCTCTGATTTAATTTTTTAAATTAGGGCTTTACCATACAGTTCATTATGTTGTTGTTGTTTTTAAATCTAGACTTACTCTCAGTCAGGTTCTCTACTCTTCAAGCTAGACGTGTAAACTGCAGCTCGAGGCAATATGCAGTACTCACACTAGCTCCGATCAAGCTAGGACGCTAAAAAGAGAGTAACGGCAGCGGGATGGGCTAGCCACCTGAAATGGGCTCTCCACATCTCATACAGGCATGTACTTGGGGCAGCTAGCCCCTCTCACTGCTTGCGCCACCACAGCTAAACTCTATTTTTAGCATGCATGCATGTCCTCTTGAGCTGGAATTTATACCTCCACTTCAAAGTGTAGATATACCCTTAGCTGGATGGGCAGAGGCCACCCAAGATAGAACTTCCAAAGGGTGCCAGAGGGAGAAGACTGAAGGGCAGACAGTAACTTGCCAGTATCTCAGCCATATTGGTGACAGTATGTTAAAATTGCCCATGTCCTCCTTATCATCTAAGCCTAAAAGATACAAGGCTCATGCAGTGGGGCTCCTCAGGAGCATGCTGTTGAACTGATCGTACCATAGTCACACTATCAGTCTGTTACGTGCTAAAGAATGAAGTGAGAAAGTAGAAGCAGAAGTAGATCTAGAAGAAAGTATAGAGGCTCTCTTATTTCCCCTGCTCAGCATGAAGACTGATAGATGAAGGAGCAAAAAGAACAGCTGTAGAAGATGTTCAACTGTTCTTGAGGTATTTTCATTTCAATCAAGCTCAGATTTTTTATTCTTAATATTTTATTATGGTAGCATCCAAGTGAGCCACTTAAGGATTGAGGTCCCACTATGTCAAAGATTATACAAATGAAAAAAAAAAAAAAAAAAATGAACAGTCCATATCCTGCAGAGCTTATGTACCTTTCTGGCTGCACACAGGATGTCAAATTCTACTCAAAGAGCCAGCTTAAAAACCACCCAAGGACACTGATAGAGAATAAAGAGAAATTAATTACCGTATATACTCGTTCATAAACCAAATTTTTTTAGTAAAAAAGGGAAGCACCAGAGAAGGGGGTCGGCTTATGAACGGATATAGAGAGGGGGAGGTGGGACACAGCCTCTCCCCCAACAGAGGGAGCAAGGAGAGGCAGCACAGCCAGCAGAGCCAGAAGGGAAGCGGCTCATCCTGATGGCCCAGGAGCCAAAGTTTGCTGACCCCTGAATTATAGGGTCGGCTTATGAATGAGTCATAAAAATGTTCCATTTTTACTTATCCATCTTGGGGTGGGGGGGATCGGCTTATAAACGAACTGGCTTATGATCGAGTATATACGGTAAATGATAACTAGGAATCAGTTAAACTTTCTAAGAGCCTGTGGTCTTCCTGGTAGGCCTAATTCCCGAACTACGTGGACAATTCCCATTACTGCGTGGAAAGCCATAAACTAATGGCTGATGAGTGTTCAATATGAAGAACAGATGATTTACTAGATAAAATAGGGCTAAGTTAGGGGTTTTCAAACTGGGGGGGTCATGACCCCTCAGGGGGTTGCGAGGTTATTATCTGGGGGTCACGAGCTGTCAGCCTCCACCCCAAACCCCACTTCACCTCCAGCATTTATAATAGTGTTAAATATAAAAAAAGTGTTTTTAATTTATGGGGGGGTGTCGCACTCAGAGGCTTGCTGTGTGAAGGGTCACCACTACAAAAGTTTGAGAACCACTCGGCTAAGTCACCTATATGGCCCTCACTGATTTCACTAAGGGGTGCTGACAGTTACTTTTGACTGAGGATACGGTTGTCAAATTTGCCATTTTAATAGATTTGGGATTGTACAAGTCCCCAGTGCTAACTGTCTATGTCATCTATAGTGGTGGACTCTATACTCTGAATAAAGAATGCATCTGTGACATACTAGAAGATGATAGTGTTGACAGAACTGAAAGAATGACTGGTTTCTGTACTGACTGTACATCTCCCTACAGTCAGATGGGGAGGACCATGTACAATACAAAGACTGTGGTCCTCATTTGGGGCAGCAGCCAAACTGAGCTTAACACAGCATGGAAAAGGGATGGAATACAGATGGCTGTGTGTCACCTCTCTACCTTACAGACTGTGGAGGTGACTGGAGACTAGAACAGTCCCTGGCATACACTGGAGCAATCACAGATATTGCCCTAACTGATGTTGTTCTACAAGGACTCCTTATGGAGCCATCCACCTAGGGTGACCAGACGTCCCGATTTTATCGGGACTGTCCCGATATTTGCTTGTTTGTCCCGCGTCCCGACCAATGTTCGGTCGGACGCTGGACAAACAAGCAATTTTGCCCTCCGCTCCCGCGCACAGGCGGAGCCCAGAGGGGATCGCGCCCCCCCTGCCCCGACTCCGCCCCCTTCTTCCCCCATTGGATCCTTTCCCAAATCCCTGCCCTGGCCACGCCCCCTCACTGCCCCATTGGATCCCTCCCCAAATCCCCGCCTCTTCCCCAAGCTCGCCGCATTCCTCCTCCCTCCCAGGCTTGCGCCGATCAGCTGTATGGCGGCGCAAGCGCTGGAGGGAGGCCCCGGGGACGCAGGGGAGGGCAGGGTGAGTGAGTCTGGCCTGGCCCTGAGCGCAGGCAGGATAGCAGGGTGGTACCTGCAGGGGCAGCTCCGGGTCCGGCCTGGGGAACCGGCTCCCTATACGCGCCCATGGGTGGGGGTGGGGGGACAGCAGCTGCCCACGAGGGGACTCCCACGGGGCTTCACCTCCCGCCACATGCGTGCCGCCCCGCAGGGCGGGCTGTAGGGAAACCCCGCCCCGGGGCAGAGGCAGCGGCAGCCCCGTTCGTTCCCCTGTGGGACCCGAGCGGGACGGGGGGGCTGGGGCCTACTGCCCCCACTCCGGGGCCACCCATGGGATTGCACCAGCTGGGCACTTTCCCCTATGGGGGGAGGTGGAGATGAGGCGAGCTGGTGCAGGGTGCGGGGGGGCGCTTCGGCAGCTTTTTTTTTTCCCCCCCCCCCCCCCCCCCCCCCCCCGCGTCCCGATATTTCAGTTTTGTCATCTGGTCACCCTACATCCACCAGCACAGAATAGTCAGCGGGCAGTGTGGTCCAACTATGCCTGCTCACTCCTTTACCATACCACAAGGTCTTGTGATGCAATGAGGGCCAGCACAGGACAATTGTGCTGGCTCTATGCTCGGTGGGGAAACCCTTCCTGTAACAATCCGTAAGGGCTGCTTCCACTCCCTTTGCAGGCCCTTTATACCACCAGTGCAGTGTAAAATAGGACACTGAGGAAGGCAGAATCTAGCCCTCTGTTTACAAACAGATCTGACATTTTCAAAGAGAACATTATTTCCATCCTCCTACAAAGGACTTGTTAGTCAGCATACCAGGTTGGGGGCACAGCAGGCTGCAGTCTCTACTCCAAATAGGTGACACAGGGACCTCTGCCAGAAAGCTAACCAACCCGGCAATAATTGGCAGACTTTTAAAATGCACAATTCCATCAAAATAAATACAAAAAAAGTTTTTGTATTATGAAAATAATTAAAGTATCCTTCTGCTGCAAACAGTTAATTAACAACACTATTTTCTGGTCCATGCACATCCCTGATGACATTATTAACCATCCTAGCATGTGCATGCCAAAGTTAAGTGCAAGAAGCCACATTGGCCTCTGCTCGTTTTGGAAACATGGATCGGGAGATGGAGAAATCAACACTTTTCAAAATATAAAAGGAACAAATTGGTAGGAAAACAAACCATCCTCCAGCTGTCTTGGTAACACCCTTCTAAATGACAGTCTAAGAACCATGGCCTAGTGTCCCCAGTTGAAAGGCCCCTCTGTATGGGACCAACTCACACTGTGAGCAAAGCCAGACTGATTAACTCACCTAGGGATTCTGCTCCATTCTCCACTGTTTCATTCACCTTTCTGGCAACTCTGGCTACAGCTTCCCCCATTTTTTTCTCCATGCAGGCACCACACCCAGTCCCACCAGGGAAGCACTTCCACAGAGGAAACTGTCAATGAGGAAATAAAAACAGTGAGGGTCCAGTGTGCTAGCATATCATGAAAGGGACAAGTAAAAATAGCAGTCAATGGGACAGGATTTATTCCTGGCAAAATGTTATTAATCAGAAGTTAATATCAGGACTGCTATTAAGCAGAATCTGCTGCATTTAACCTCACAACCACTTATCCCCATTTTACAGATGGGGAACTGTGGCACAGGGAAACTAAGTGACTCGCCGAAGGTCCCACAGGAAGTCTGTGGCAGAGGAAGGACTTCCACCCAGGTCTCCCAAGTCCTAGACTGGCACTCTAACCATGGAACATCCTTCCTCTCCCACTTCCTTTCTACTACACTCTGCAGTGAATAGTGAATTTTTACAGCAGGTCAGATATCCCATTGCCCTGCATTTTATGTAGTCATTTGCAATAGTACAAAGTAAGTGTGAAATACTACTAAATCAGAAAGAGCAGTTATTTGCATGTACTTTCCACTAATGTAACTACACTGTAACTACACAAAATACTCTGTATTTTGGATTTAATTAATGAACAGACTCCATGAACTTCAATTTTAAATTTCCCTTAATTACTCGTTACTGTCATTATTGTTGCACCATCCAAAAGACTACAAAATGAGTAAATGTATCTTTAAAATTATTAATTGCTTTGAGTTATATTCTTAAATCAAAATTGTCAGTTGTGGCTATCAAAATAAAAAAGACATTTGTAGATTATTAATATTATTGACTGCCTTTTGTTAAACCTATTTTTTTCAATAATTAAATACTGAATTTTCACACCAAATATAAATATGTAAATTAAAAAAATTAACACCTCCTGCCAAAACCAAAAACACCAAACCTCACAAATTGAGCTCTATATGAAGATCTGAGTAGTTCAGGACGTCAGAACTCCTGACCAGATGTGATTCCTTGTGATTTAATATGACCCTACAATCTTCTGAATATTTACCTGTTGGCCTAGATTATCCCTTGTGCTCAGATGGCGGAAGGGTACAACAGGAAAAAGAAAAACCTGTGATGTTCTCCTTAAATTCTGGAGGATTTTCTTTATTATATGCAGAGGCCCCTCCCCACCCTTTCTGCCTGCAGTGTGCCCCCCCCCCCCCCCCCCACACACACACACACACTGCTCCTGCCAGGGAAATGTGATGGGGGCATGGGGCTTTCCCAGCCCCGCCCAGCACTCCTGCCAGGGAGTTGGGTCGGGCCACGGGGGCTTGCCCTGTCTGTCTTCCCAGCACTCTTGCCGGGGAGCGGGTGTGGGGACTTGCTGGGCGGGCAGAGCATGGCAAGCTCCCGCATCCCAACCCTGCTCCCCAGCAGGAACACCAGGCATGCAGAGTGGGGCAAGCCCCCGCGCCCCAACCCCGCTCCCTGGCAGAAGCACCGGGCAGGTGGGCGGAGCTGGGGCACCCATTTTTCTGGGGGGCCCTGAGCATAGGCCCCATTGGCCTAGTGGCTAATCTGCATCTGATTATATGTTGTCCCAAGACCCATTTTTATTGTCTCGCCAGGGCAGAATGTCTACTTGATTCCCTAGAGCATGTCTTTCATACAGCATCTCTCAAAGGTAGACAAAATGAGTACATATGGCCTCATTTAAAAATTCTTAGAAGCAACGCTCATAATGAGTAATGGAACATGAGTTATTTACACACAAATTAAGGCCCAGAAAAAACATACAAATAAGCATGGAAAAAAGGAACCAGAGAGACAATACACACAAATGAAACCTAAGTATATCCAGAAGAGTAACTGTTCAGTTCACTAGTCCTTACAAAAAGACTTGTGTTTTCAGTAACCTGAACTTTCCAGCAATTAAGACAGCAGGCCTCTAATACCAGGCCTTCTCTGGGGTCTTCCCCGGGAGGATTTGAATTCTAGGACACATTGATCTCCATTACCTCTTTACTACTGAGCAGAAGGCAAAACTCTGCCTCTAACTACCTCTCCTACCACCAGCCAACTCTAAACTTCACCTGGAAGTATGCAGAAATGACCCCTAGTCAGTGATGGATTGGACTGCCCCTTTTCTGAGACCACAATACTCAGAAGTTATGGGCTTGAAGCAGAAATTAGTGGGTGGAATTCTATAGCCTGTGTTATGCACACCAGATTAGATTATAATGGTTGTTTCTGGCCTTAATCTATTAATCTATTTTGTTCTCCAAGGGGATCTCTGGCACTTCTGTTGGCATGAATTAATAGAAAACTGGGGAGACAAACTACAAAGAATTTTGGCTCAAAAAGAATTGTAAGAACAACAGATGAGCCAAAATGGGAAAGAAGTAGAAAAGGACCAGTGGATGCATCTAGTAACATCATGCAAGAAAGCAGTAGCCTAGAACCCCAGTCTGTACCTGGCCGAGCAGCACATCTCCATGTCATGCCTCCTTTGGATGCTTTTGGTATCTTTACTAAGGAGTATGCCTAAGCCCTCCTAGGCAGTGATCCAGCAGCAGTGGTCCTATATTTAGTATTTTGATTTTTACCACTTAGTCAACTAGACTAGTGGCAGAAAGCCAAGACTTCTGAACCCAGATACCTTTCCATGCAAATCTGACACTAAGTTGGGCTGCAATATTCCCTAAGCAAACCCAAGTGATATTACAACCAAATGCTGTCACAGTCTGCATTGATCCAACACAGCTTGCTTTTTCATTTATGGGGAAAACTAAGGACGATTAACAGCAATATCTGCATACATCCTACAATTACTTCACATGCCACCCTGACTCAACTATGAGGAGGCAGGGAGACCCCCAAAGCCACAGAAGGTGGCATTTCACCCTCTCCACACTTTCATGTTCAACTTCCAACACCAAAATGTACAGCATAAGTAGTTGTTTGTTTCCAGACGTGTCCCACTTTAGGGCAGAGGCCGGGGGAGAGAAGAGAGGGGGGTGGCCTTGTCCTCAGCGCCTTTGCAGCAGGAACGCTCTGCGGAAATGCACAGAGCAGGAAGCAGGCTGCGTGCATTACAATAGCCTCCTTTCACTTTCAGCTGCGGGACTCTCACTCTCACTGTTTCCTGGACCTGGTGGATGCAACCCCTCGGGCCACCGGGCGAAACAAGTTCAGACTATTGCATGTTAGCAGTCTGCATTGAGAAGTGCAAACTCCCGGGCTGCGTTGGCAGCCCCAGTCCATCGGGGAGTTTGCAGTATCCACACGCCCCATTGTGTGTGTGGGGGAGGAGGAAACTCTTCTAATCTCTTTTTCTCTGTGCGAGATGAGGGAAGAGGGAAACGATCTCTTACCCAGCACCAGACCCACTCTGCTGCTGCTGCTGCTCAGCCTGAACTCCCAGCTCCGTCTGTCCTGTTTCCTCCAACCATTGTGAAGAACAGCAACAGCTGCCTCTACGGCCAAACTGCAGGGGTCGGGGGGGGGGGGGGGAGGAAATCCAACGAGGAGGACCTGACAGAGAACAGCAAAAGACCCAGAGCCAATAAATGCAGGAGCTCTGGCAGCGGGTTAGGCACAAAGGTGAAGTTGGTTCCTTAATCACAGTTCCCAGTTACTTGTTCCAAGGTCAACACGTCTTAGGGAATTCATCCATGTAAGATTACTTTTTTTAGAAATGTCACCAAAATAAATGATTGACTGTTGTGACTATGTATATTAGGAATTATTTATTAATAATTAGAGCAAGGGCTTTGACTGGTTACAAGTCAAAAATACATCTCAGGTCACCCCCCACTGACACATCCCTGTGATCATTAGACTGTTTTGAGATAAGTAAGATATTGCACTTCCTGACCTGAAGCTTTAGCTTTGTTCCTGTGCAATATGCTGCCACAGGTCACACCCTCGCCTCACTTCTAAGGCTCCGTGTACATTTGGAGTTAGGGTAGGATTCCCTACTCACTAGAAATACTTGCACTAGCTCCCATTGAGGTAGTGCACTAAAAAACTAGCCAGGGTAGTGAGAGTTAATTGGCATGAGATGGGTGTAGGCTCAGGAGGAGGTATGGAGATGGCATGAGCTAGGGCTCCTGGTGCAAAGGAAAAAGTGAGTTACTGTTTTCCTAGCAGGAAGAAGCAGCAGAGTTAGTTAGGGAGCAGCTCTAGGCACTAGGTTGGATGGGAAGCTCTGAGGTGGCACAAATGGTGTGAAAGGATCAAGTTTCGGCAGGAAGCACTGAGGCAGTAAAAGTGGGTGCATGATCTGAAGCTGGGGGGAAGTGACAGAGAGGGGGAAGGCTGAGGCAGTGAGGTGGGGAGACAAGAGCAAGCTGAAGGGCATGAATTACAGTAGCTCACATTGGATGAGACCCTCTGGGGAGGCATGAATGGTAGGAAGGGATTGAGTTTAGGTAGGAAGCACTGAGGGAGTAAAACAAGGTGAGGGAAGAGGCTGGGGTAGAAGGATGGCTGAGATGGCAGGATAGGGTGATAGGAGCAAGTTGAGAAGCCGTGAATTGGTGCCGGTTCAGATTAGGTGGGAAACTTTGCAGTAGCATGGGTGATGGGAAGGGCTTGAGTTTAGAAGGAAAGTGCTGCTGAGGCAGTAAGATCCAAGGGGATGTGGCTGGTGGGAAAGGGCTGAAGTGTTGTCACATAATCAGCTGGTCAGAGTGACCACTGTGTAATTTGGCTGCAGGTCTTTCAACCCTTTGAAATGGGACATAATCATGGCCCATCACACTCAGTTTAAACCTAGTCTGGAATTCTGCAGCCAAACCTCAGGGACTCTGCCTCGCTTTGGTCTTGAAACTGAGAAATTCTGCAACAATGTGAGATAAATTTAAAAAAATACAAATTCCTTTGAAAGATTTGGAATAAATCTGCCACTACAGGCTTTTCTTAGTGTTGGTGGATTACATTTTGTTTCATACAACCTTTATAATCATTATGTAATTAAAATATATCGCTGATTTTTGTAGCAAGAATTTCAGCCCTGTCTGAGGCTCTCTGACAAACTTTTTCCGTTTCCAGCACCTCCGAGGACAAGCAGACAAGAAGGAAGCATCCAAGAAACG